CCCTTTTGGCTCTTTCTCCCCCCCCCCCCCCCCCTAAAAAAAAAAAAAAAAAAACCCCAGCCAAGATAAAGATGACAGCACATGCACAATCTGTGTTGTCATCAATCAGCAGCCTCCTCTTAAGAGCAACCCTCTCAAATTTCATACATAACAAATTCTTTAGATGAGATTAGACACTAATTTCTAACATTGGCTAATGAATGCTGACAACACCCTTGGTTAGCCAGACAATTCACTTCCCCTTTTTATATAAAGATGCATAAAGTTTTGTGTGATTATTGCAGACAAAAAACACCTTGTGAGGCTTAACAGAAACCACAAGTAGAAGAAGGGAAGAAAAAAAAAAAAGGTATGAACTTGTAGTTGGAAGGTGAACTAAAATCTTTTTCACTTGGTGAGCTGCAAGCTCACAGGGCCATTTTGTCCTTTCAGCCACTGACGGCATCATGAAAGGAGAATGGAGATTCATTCCTCACACGACATGAGGCATTGATGGAGCACGGGAGATTGGAAAACCTGAGCAGGAAATAAGCTGTGAAGTATTACAAAGAAATTTGTACATACTAACTCTGCGCACCTTCCTTTCAATAGGCTGGTAAGCGTAAGCAGCGCACCTATTTTTACTGTCATTAACGCATGTCAGCGTTAACTGGGGAAATACACAGGCCTAGCTTCACACAGAGGGAGGAGGCAGAGCTAAATGCCAGAAACTCAATGCATGGAAACAGAAAATAAGCCTGCGGCTCCGGCGATGCACAGAGCCGGCTCTGCAGGCTGCTGAGGTCTCCCTGGCCCGGCACCAGCCCCGGGGCAGGAAACACTGCTGGCTGCGGGCGGTCTGCTCTTCTGTCCATCCATCCCCCTGCGGCGCAACTGCATGGCCAGGGCTACACCACAGGCTGCCAGGGCAGGTACAACCTGGGCTGTGCAGCACTGGGAGGGGGGAGAGGCCTGCAGCCATGTTAGCTTACCTGTGCAATCCACACCTGCAACTATTCATGCATGAGACTTTTTTTTTTTTAAACACGCTTTGAGTGGCTCTTAGGAGAGTTTAACTGTGCAGCCACAAGGAAGGAATGGGAGGCAAGTGTGAGAGATGCTTCTGTGTGGGGCAGCAGGACCCCAGATACTGATGAAAATGCTGAGACTGATGAAGATTCATATTCATAAGGATATGAATTCTTTCTTTGCTAAATGAAACTAGCCAGAGAGCTATGCTTGAACTCTGAATTCTTTCTTGATCAAAGAAATAGCAATAGCAAGCAAAAAAAAAGCAAAGATAAACACAGAAAGGTGTATGCTTACATGGTGATGAAGAGACTGTCGTGCACTTTGTTTCTTTAACAGTAAAACTGTGAAATTACAGCTACTTTACAACTTATTTAGGAATTGGACATGCATAATCAGGGTACTCCTGTAGATCATGTTCAGAGCAAGTGATGTTTGGACAAAATAGGCTGTACTGGCATAGCAAAAAGAGTGACCAGGACCTCTGGTCATAGATGAAGGCCGCCTTGTGTCAGGGACTCCACAGCCCCGCAGAGCTGCAAAATAGAAATAAACCTGCATCATCCCAGGTTCCCAGCTACAGACAACCAGGAACATGGACATACATAGGATTTCCCAGGCAGCCCCAAAGTACAGGCCTGCCAAATACTGTATGCTCTGCATGAGACCTGCTCCACCGGCCCTTGTCCCACACCTGCAGCACTCATACTCCACACATTTCTGATACAGCACAGCAGCGCTGCTGCTTGGGACCCAACACACCAGAGAGGGCCTGTCAGCCTGATCCACGACATCCAGCCAGCAGCAGCTGGTTTACGTGGTCCTGGAGGGGCAGAGGAACCAAGAGGCTGTGTTGCAGCTGTGGATAGACATAATTTTACTGACGGCAGCCTGTTCTCAAAGCTGACCCACGCCCTAAGCACACGTGCCACTCACCTCAATGGATGTGCACCACGCTGTCTGCCAGCGTGTCTGACAGATGAGAGGCTCTTCGCCACCAGACAGACCAGAGCAGAGAGGTCTCATGTGTCAAGTCTTAGGAAAGCAGACAGGCCAGGCATAGGTCACTGACGTTTCTCCCCACCTCCTGAAATCGCCCATTTGCCACAGTTTCCACAGAAAGTTGCACCCTCAGAATTTCTCCTGACTAGCTCTCACCTGGATGCTAAATAAGGCAAATCAGGAGGAGAGAAGGAAACTGGACTTTCGTTCTCATTCCTCCTATCTCTGCCTCAGAGACAATCTGCAGGTGATCCCCCTTTCAGCTCAACCCATGCAACTTCCGCAGGGCTGGTCCTCTGCCCTGAGACAACGCCCAGCCCTGCGTGGCACCCCACAGCCACCGACCAGCTGCACAACGTGAGGTTTAATCAGAGACCACTGTGAGGGAAAAAGAGTGAAGGAGACATATTGCCACACTGTTTTGCCTGCTTCCAGCACAAAGAGACCATAAAAAAGACTG